CCTCCCCACCCCCCCCCCCCCCTCCCTCCACTTGCCACTACGTCACCGCTCGCCGCGCCGCGCCGCGCCGGCAAACCTGCGCACTACGTCTGCGCCTGCGCCATCATCCTCCCCCTCCTTCCACGTGGCGTCGCGTCCTGGATCACCGCTACGCGGGATTCAAATTCACCTTGTTTATTATCGTGACCATTCTCACTATTCTTTACCAAGGACGATTTTGAAAAATCAACGTTTGAATAATTTCCGCACTTTCAGAAATAATAATTTTTCGTACTCTAACGATTTTTGTTCGTATTATTTCACGTCTACAACAATTGTATTATATGTTATTATACTGTGTTATTTAACGTTACCGTGCGATCGTTATTGTGATCATTTCTACTTTTTAGATTAATATTATATCTCTTGTGTAAAAGATAGAATATTCTAAATTTTTGTTTCTTTAATATTATGTTTTTAATTTATACTTTTGATTTCTCATCCACTTTCTTTATTTTCATAGCAATCTACTATTCGCTTGATAAATACGTTGGTACTTTTAATATTAAGTACATATTCGGGTAAAGAAAGAAAAGTAAAGATTCTGAGTGTAAAAAGTGCAAACAGACGTAATATCTCCAAAATATCAATGATAATCGATATAATTTTTTCTTTTATAGCTAATATAAAATACGTAACAAAGTTTGATTAACTTAATTGGTGATTAATTCGATTAAAGCGAGTATATAGCAAAATTTCCAACTGTATTATTCTTAATCTAATAATCTTACCTTTTGCGTGTCAAAATGTAAAAGCAAGGAAAAAATCTAATTAAAAAAAAAACGGAAATTAATTTAAAATGTAAATTTTCTCTTGAAATTTCACATATAACGGGACATTAAAGAGATGCCGTTAATCGAGTAACGAGACAATAATGTAATTAATTAACATTGACCGATCATTTATAGTACCGAGAAGTAATTGGTCACGCTCGTACGTTATCGTGTAATTCAAACAATTTGACCGAATATAAATCAAACATTTAATATCGCCGCGCCCTGATAGCAGCGTGTATATCGTAATCCTTGATATCGCATTAAAAACGCGACAACAGTCGTATTACGCGACCGTGTGTCTACAAATGCGCGTGTTAAGTATCGCAACATGCGTACATTATACGAGAGCGAGTTTCCCGTTAATTTGTAATTTGAGACAAATATGGCCCGACACGTCATTTGCGTATCGGTGAAGCACTGCGTCTGCTCCGGATCGTTGATCTGCCATAAAAGAGACCCTCATGAGCGGTTACTTTAATCGCAGCGGTTACTTTAATCAATTTAAGGACCGATTCTACCAACGTCAGTTAACGTGTCTATCCATATATTTATCTCTGTTATTATATCATTATATATGTTATATTACAGTCGCGATACTACCAGATGTAAAAAAAATTTTTTAATGAACTTTAAATGCTGACGAAAATTAACCGATTGATATAATAAACTACAAAAGCAACAAAAAAAAAAGCTTTTATCGCGTATGAGATGCGACACGTATGGAACTTTTTTCCCAGATTTTTTGTGCGAGCGAAACTTTTTTTATCCTCGAAATTTACAGTGATAATTCCGCTTCCGCGACGGAAGTGCGTTACGAGACAAAGCGATGACGCGTGTAACATGTACACGTATAATGTTAAACGATATAACGTGGTTATATCGTGCGTGCATGTTCTCTTTCGCCACGAGTTATTTCAGACCGTAATAGATGCCTATGTACGCGCGCGCGAGCGTGTATTTGTATGTGAACATACGCTGCTATATGTAAAAAGTATATGCAGGGGACCGAGTCTAGACAATGAACAGCAGCATGTGGCAAAGAGCAAGACTCTGGTTGCAGACTAAGTATATACTACTTGTATGGCTACGGGCGTCATGATAATGGCCAAATTTCGCTCCTTATAATCCTGTTTTTTTATTAATTCTATCATATATCGCGATCTTGCCGCGTCTTATTACGTCGATATTTCATAAAAAAAAAAAAAAAAATGCGATACTACAATTTTTATAAAGTTTTAACATTACATTCCTTATTCTTTTTCTCATAATCTCTGAAAAAAATCTTTTTTATTTTAGAACCTCTAATGCGAAGAATGTCTCAAAGAGAAGTTGAAAAAGTGAGAAAATATCGTCTGATTATTCGTTTTAAATCTGAATCTATTAGGTACTTTCCATTTAATGACACAAGTCGACACAAACGTCGTTTCTCTTTGTATTTTATAAATAACAAAGACACTATTCTTGCGTCGATTTGTGTCACCAAATAGAAAGTCACCCATTATGGACTGTAATATATAATACATTACCGCGTCAGAGTCTCGCGATTAGTGACCTTTCTTTTCATTTTTTTTTATTATCTGAGATTTTATAAATTTTTGAATTTTCAAACCACGCTTCGATTTTCGTTTATTTACTCACATAATCTATAATGATTATGCATCGTTTATCGTCATTAAAATTCAGCGCGTACATTATTATATCCGCTTGCATTATTATTTATCCGAGAAAAAGCTTACGATAAAATAAATATAAAATATTTCTGAAGCGTCGTTACTCTGTCTCGTTATTTGCGTCAACCGATCCACCTGTCTCATGTTTGTTTCTACGTTTTGTTTTTTGTTTCTCCGAACAGCTGATCTCGCAGATATATTAAGTATACGTATACGTTAGCTTGTGTCCAATTCTCATATTTCATATAATTTACAAAGATCCATCCACTTCCAATCGTTCATAACATTAAAGCTGAAAGCGTTGATCCCTCGACAATTTTGGTGACAATTTTGTTGACAAATCAACTTGAAAATGTTTGATCCTGAATTGAAAGAAAGTGCAATTAATTTGGGATGCATGCGATAACGAAAAAGATGGCCTCTTCCTTGAAGCGATCAAGTTTATTCCTTGGAGATACAGCATAGCCACTCGAGCGCGAGCTGCCGTGTAACCTGTTTTCATTTTTATCGTCGGCATCAGGTTTCAGCGCAGGTGAGTCGCGAAGGTGCCGGTCGGAGTGGTGAACCAGCCTATATACACGGCACAATGTTTTCTTCTTCGTTGCAGAAATGTATTGACCTTCGAAAGTAATATAAAGTAGCGCATTGGTGACAGTCTACGCGCAGACATGCATTATATTGAAAAAAAAAAGAAAGAACGATAGAAACAAATCGGGACGATATGTTTAAATCTGCAACGTTCGGACATTCTACGTAAGCAATGCAATTTACTCGAATCGTATTACGGTTTTGATTGTTACAAAATTATCTTAACGATATATATTCGCTAAAGAAAATTGTAACAAAATATCTTTCGTGATTCGAATTTTGCCACATCGCGGTGATTGTGTAAATAACCTTGTTTAATTAATATACATGAATATACTTCATATTTGAATATTGCTCTAAATTATTTCTCAATTACCATAATATACATTTAATTTGCAAAATTTCTACCGTAGACATAATCATCCCCCTAGGTCATTATCATTGGTTAAATAAAACACGTTGGATTGATAATATGTGCTTAAACATGTAATTTACATCATAATTATACATTGTGTTAACGTTTTCCACAGGATTAGTAAAGTACTGCGCGATGATAGTACGCCCAAGTCAAGTGCGATGGAAGTATAAAACTCTAAAATGACCCTTTTTATTCGGGTAATATTTATATCTAGCGGTGTTTCTACGCTTTCTACGCGTTCTTATACAAAGAAACAAATGTCATTATTTTTTTATTTCCCTAATTATGTTCTAATGCGCTAAATAAACGATTCCGATGTTTGTTCGAGAACAAGCTTTCCTGCTCTTTCTTTCATTTCCTCTCAAACGTACGCGTTTATAATAAAGCTTCTCGCATTCATCTATATATAGATTTGCTCTTTCACAATGCCTCTCCCTTACTTTTACCTTCAACAATCACAGCTATAATCTTCGCTATCAAAACGTATTTTTGTCCTTAAACGGATTCTCCCCTTTGTAAGTACATTAGACACGACCGAAGAGAACATCGAATACGTAATGTTGCTTTATTTTCTTTATTACTTAGTTTATACGCTATTATGTACAGTTACGAATATCAACGCATCGTGAATCCGCGATACTCGCTTGAAGCATCGAGAGTACCAGGTTCTTTCTGGATGGACGACGCGATCATGAAAGACGATAGTACTGTTCAAAACCGGTCGATCATTTGCGAGCGCGTGGAGGAGAGGGACAGCGAAGAAACGCGAGCAAAAGTAAGAGAGAAAGGGAGAGAGGAAAAGAAGAGAGAGGGAAAGATATAGTTTATCCTAAAACTTAAGAGAAAAAAAACAGGAGGAGAGAATTCAAGTATCTCGAAATCGATGCGTATTATACAAATCTCTCCGATGAACAACAACGATCCTTATTGCAAGTTTTATCTCTTAGCCCTCTAAATCAATCACTGAAACAGAGATCGCGAATAAAAATAGCGATCAACAGCGACAGTTATATAAAAATCGGTTGGGAGTAAAAAAAAAATAAAAACTGATGCACAATGGCGCTTAATAACGAGGTATGGAGTACACTTTGAATAATATAAATTGAGACATGATAACAGGAACTAGGGTACACAAGACCGGCTCTAAGTTTTTTGCCGCTTCACAAACAATTTTCTACTATTTTTATCTGCCTTCATTTCCTTCATTTATACTTTTCCTAATAATATTTCTGTAGACTTTTATCGATAACTATACATTGCACTAATGGCTGCAGATTTTGGTAAAGGTTTACCAAAACACATAATCGAAATACTGCATTGAAAGTTTGTCGCCTCTGACTACAGAATGTTGAATAATTGGAAAAAAAATGAATATATTATGTTTGATAAAAAATCTAGAACAATGTTTTTAGTACAAAGATTGCCGTGCAAAGATTGCCGTTTTATTATTTCTCTATATTCGATGTTTTCGATAGTTAATCGCTTTTTAAAATTTTCTTAAATCAAAGACCACTTCAAAATAAATCATTATTTTAACCATTTATTTTATATTCGACATTATTTATTTTCATTCCTGCAATTTAATTCGGAAAAAGTCTACAACAAAGTACGATGACTTATAACTCGAAAAAATTAACATTTTTATATTTTCATTAAATCAGAAATCAATATCTAAATTTCACAAGAAACACGTTCACTTTTTACATCTACTTTTCAAATTTTGATTATTGCAAGTGTATCTTATGGACTTGCTTTACTAATTTCTACAGCCGGCCCTGTTAATGTATATGTATATGTTCCGTGCAAAACGAGATTTGGACAATACAAATAGAATGGTGATCTTAAAGCATTGACTTATTGGCACCTTGTACATCATTATGTTATCACATATTAAATTATCACATGTGATAATATAATTGTCGGTCCGCCATACAATAGATTTAATAGAGTTTTCATATTAAATAAATTGGATTCAGAATTCGACGACTATATTTAACGTTAATATATGCGATATAAGGGTATTGTCGCTCGTGAAAATGAAATCTGGAGACATTCAAGTAAGAATTTGATGAATATATAATGAAAATAAGTCTGTGTAAAGTATTATACATGATATACCTATATTAATTTCTATTAATTTCGAGGAATGCTTCGAGTGATATTTATGAGATTTTATGTATGTAAGTAGGCTACACAACATTTTATTGTAATAAACTGATAATAAATAGTGCCATTATTTTTTCGACAATAGAGAGAAAATATTCTGCTCAACTTACATAAATGACAATCCTAACACGCATGTTAAGAGGATGTATACAATATCCGCTTTTGATGCATTATTTTTTTAATAATAGATTTTTTAGCCAATTTCCTTAGCAAATATGTTGAAATATTAAACTATTTTCAAATTAATAAACGATTACAGATCGATATTTTATTTTAAATTCTCAATACCAAGAAATGTTCAAAAATATCATTTAGATCTCTAAATATAAAAGTATTAACATTATAATTTATAATTAAAAGTAAAATATCAATAACAAAGTCTTATGTTTAAAATATATAGTATTCTTAAAAAATTATTGCTTCACATTTTTCGATTTAATAAATGTGCTTAATAAGTTGATATAGGCCCATTGTAACAAAAATGTAATAAGAGTTGTGATATTTATGAATTTAAGAATTAATAAAGACTTAATTTGAATCTTACTTGCTAAGATTCTAAAATTTTTCTTAGTATCACAGCGTACATGTTTTGTTCTGTTTTATAATGTGCATTATTTGACGTATGAATTTCTTATTTCTTACGTATTTTGTAGCTCATAATTAATTTTCTATGAGAATAAAATTCTCCAATTCTTTTTTAATTTTCCAATAGGTGAAAAAGAATAAACTCTAAAGCCAAAAAAATGATCTTTACTGAAATGTCTTTCGATAAATTTGTAACGCTTAATACTTATCATTCAATATTAATAAAATCACTAATCTCTCTTGCTTGAATGTCCCCATCATCAGATCTATTACAGATATCTAAATCACCGTGTAAATTGAACAAAGCTTTGTTGTAAAAAAAGGATGCCGTGTGAAGCATAGCAAAATCTTGCTTTTACGTAACTAGGTTGCATTATTTTCTTTTCTTCGTATGTCTGTCGCGTTTTGTTATTTTTTCGCTTGTAACGTTTCCAACAAGTTACGAGGACATTGTGGCACAAGTAGCCTGAACGGTAAAAACCGACTTACACTTACGATGTATCACTTCCTATCTTAGTAAGTAAAATCGATCGTCTTAAAACTTTTTTCATTTCGCGAACATTGACATGGCAATATTCGATAAACAATTTTGACAGGTAAAAAGTATCAACAATTTATAGAATGCTTTAAAAAGTAGCAAAATTGCTTTACGCAAAAGAGTGCATCTCACGATTATCTACGCAATTGGCATTCCACGCAAACGCCTCATACTGTCGCATACATCGATAAAGAAAAAATCGTTTAGTGTATTGTATTTACATTACCGAGATATAAAAATACTAATGAGAAACGTATCTTTATAGACGAGGTCCTCATGCATTTTCTCACTTTCTTAGAAATTAATTAATTCATAGTCAAGTTTGGCAGTAATATTGTCCCTAGCTATTTGCATTCTTATTGTTGACAAATTTTTTATCCTATTCAGCTTCCGACAAACACATTCTTGCGGGACGCACTGCGTGCTCATTATTATAGTTTCTTGTTTCAGTTTGCTAATTCCAAACTGTGCAATGACCATTGCATGCTAAAATCTTTATTAACTTGGAAGATCTCCAATTCTTCTCTTTCAGGTCTTTATCGTGAGTACAAGAACAAATGCCCTCATTACTGTTACAACTATCATCACCATTGGCATCGGGAATACCAATCATTCGCAAAAGTATGCAATTTGAATTTTCTCGCTGAACCAGATTTGCTTGAATCAAAAAAAAAAAAAAAATTTCGGCCGTGAATTTAAATAGTGTGTGTGTATTTTACGAGATCGTACGCTTTTCGCGAATGAGAGGCAGTTTCTTCTTACGATACATGTGCTTTTTACAGCTAAGAGATTAAAAATTTTAATGGAATAAAAAAGTCAATAAGATATTAATTTTTTAATAAATTGAGAAAAAGTAGATGTTCAGCGAGATATCTCTTCACAACATGCTATCAACGTTCGTCACACTTCCCGAGGCAAAGAAATGTTTCGACAACCACACACGGGAACCATTGGATATCCTAATTTTAAGGAGGATAATAAAAATAATAATACTCGACACATTTGTCGCAACAACGTTCTGTATCCTATTTTGCAAAAACAGCTCTTAATATCCACGCAAACACGTGTGCATTTGAGTGTGTATATATATGTAGATAAGAATATTCAATATGCACAAGTATGTATACTCTCGCGATTCTAGAAATATAATAAATTTTATAAAGGTATGTCGCGTATATATTCGCCTCTGTGTACAGTTTCTCACTAGCGCGATTACAGCCCGAACTGGTTTATCGCGGGCGTACGGAACTGCGTGATTGTTTTACGTAAAATACGTATATATACGTGGAAGAAAGAATGGCGTGAAACACGTGATGTGTTGTCGAGAGTTCCACGTTTCATTAACACTTTGTCTCCAAAGTCGCTCTCCTAACTTTGTCAGAACATTCGACATCCGGTTTCTCTTTGACTTCTGAATAACTACTACCAGAGCCTTCGGCCGATGATGTATGCGACGTATGCGGTCCGACTTCTTCTAAGGACAATATCTCTGTACCAGTAGGCGAGTAGCTCACGGTAGTCGCTTCACTTGTTGGGGACGTTACGCAGCTGTCTCCTACACTCCTACTACGCAGAGTATACCGAGGCTTTTGGAACTGTTGTATATTTAAAGACAAACTGGCCTGTATCGACGTTTTTTCCGAATTCTTCGAAGGGTTGTTCTCGGTTTGTTTCTCAGTTTGTACATCGACATGAGACGGACTTCTGGAGCGTGGAACGTGAAGCGGACTCTCTGGATCTGCTGCTAAATCAGACGACAAAATTTTTGAGCTTGCAGCTAATCTACTTGCGCAAGGAGAATACTTGGGCAAATTTATCGTGATTTTGTCAGCGCCTACTGATAGAGATGATCGGCCAAATTTTTTCAATGGACTGCAAGCAGATTTTTTCTTTTTTAACTGCTTTGCGTCATTACAGGAATCTAAGCTTTCAACAGAATCGTTCTTCTTCTCCTGTTCTTTGCATTTATCAAGATTTCTCTTTATTTTACTCGTACATGTACAATTCCAAGGAAACTTCTTCGTGAGTTCTGTAGTTTTTGTGTGTGTTGTATCGGGCCTTTTGAACTTTGTAATATTATCTACAATTGAGATTTTATTATAATAACGTTGCCTACTGTCTTTATTACTGTTAACCGAGTCCATCGCCGACTCTGTACAATTGTACTTAAATCGAGATCCAGGAGACTTTTTTTCTGTAGGCTGAGTAAGAGTACCTCTGCAATCAGTAATATCCTTTTTAATGTCACCAGAAACATTAGAAAATGATGCAACCGATTTCTCTCCAATCGCACATTGTCGACAATCCTCCACAAGGATATCAATTAAAGTCGTGTGAGTTCTTCGACTATCTGTCTTTTTCTGATTTTGACCAAATGAATTCTTTAAGCTTCTATGAACAATATTTTTTTGAGCAAAGGGATTTTTCAAATTTTTTGGTAGATAGGTATGTTTCTTGGCGACCTTTCCAGTATGGTTCAATTGAAAATTGTGACAATCAGTCACTTTTTCAGTGGTGGTGCTTTTACTCTGGTCTTTGTCTTTTGTGCACGTAGAAGAATCTTTCTGTTTAGAATTCTTATTCTCCGATCTCACACTAGATTTTTTCGAATTACCTTCGACATTTGGATACTCGTCTTTGGAACGCGTTTTCTTGAATGAATCTGAATAATAAGTTTCCTGATTTACAGTCTGCTGCTGATCGCAAAAGAAGAATACATCATCTACAGAGGCGAAAGATGATTCTTCATCACAGGGAAGGACAGGTGTCTTCTCCCCTGTGGGAGGCGACTGCTAGACAAGCTTCTCCGTTGGTGAGCTTGTCGAAATGGAACTGATGGTATTAGAATTGTTGGAAACGGTACGTCCTTGACTGTTCGCATGCATATGGCCCCCTCCCTGTCCTCCCTGACTCTGGGAGAGGCTGAGTCGCCGTCAGTTTATCAATTCCACGCTTACAAATTGTTTCAGTCGTTCGAGGTATTGATTGTATAACTCTACATCATTGTGCCCAGCACCCTGAAAAATACCCAAGATTATTATTATATATATCATATTATATATATATCATATTTATAATGGAATATACATTGGATATTTAATCCATCACAGTGCTTATATTATATTTTATATTTAAAAATTTTCATACGTAGCAGTCTTTAATTTAAGTATAAAAAAAATACAAACAAAACGCGTAAATAATAACGCGACATAATAATATGAGTAAAAAAAGGTCAAGAAAGTATTAAATTTAATGATATAATGATATAATATTAATTATTTTATAATACCTCAACCCATAATGGTTCCACTGCTCGTGGACATCTTTCGTAAATAGCCAGACCATGGCTAAAGTTTATAACTTCGTCTTCGGTACCGTGAATGACCAGTACAGGAGACGTTACTTTCGGCACTTTATCTATGCTGTAAAGAAATATAGAAAAATTACATTTATCACAATGTCAATATACAAAGTAATTTTTATATTAAACCTCGTTAAGTTCTATTTTTTTTTCTATCAATCTTATATATTTTTGAAAATTTGTTTATATATTTTTATTTATTATTTTATTTTATTTGATATTTTATTATTTTCTTTTTCTGAAATTTATTTACAAGCATATTAAAATTATTTTAGATAAAAAATTAAAATTTATGATCGCTATGTTAGCCGGGTATAGAATCTTCTTTTTCTACAAACAAATCATATCTAAAATAATTGGCATGAAAGCATAAATTTTTAATAATTTTTATACATGTAAAATATGTATATATATATATATAAAATTGTTTCATTTGAAGAGTTATTTATTATACTGTCGACATAAATTTGATAAATACAATTAAATTCGTACTATTTATTTCCTACATTTTTCTGCAACTTATTATATCTCTGCACTTTAACTATTTCAATTTAGAATGGCTTTGCGTAAGAAGTTATTTTCATTTTACGCATACATTATTATCTAATAAGAATATATACAAATAGAAAATAATAGGAAAGCAAACTAATAAGAGAAATGGCAAAGTATATGAAGATAGAATAAATAATGTCGAATGACTAGTATGACATTCAAATATATATAATCAGAATTTTTTATTTTCCATTCAGCACAAGTATTTTTTGAAATGTTGCAACGCAATGCAGTATTTTTATGCCTCACTCTATACTAATAGCTAAATGTCACATGTATTTTGTAAACACAACAGTGAGTGAAGAAGAAAGTATTATTCACAATTGTTCAAGGTATTAAAATTTTGATAAATAAAAAATAAAAACTGGACTGAAATTTATAAAAGGCTGAAAACACGATTTATAATTATCTTCCATAAATTCAAATATTTTAGTACTGCAACAAGTTAAAATAAGAATGGAAATGTGTTGAAAACAAAGGCTTGTTGGCCTTGCGTACCTAATTATGATGTGAAACATGTGAATAGCTTGTTGTGGAATAATAAATGTATTATACTTGGTGAATTCATAAAACATTTGCAAATTAGTGTTAAAAATATTGAAATTAGTAAAATACACTAAAGTAAATGCTCGTTAGATATCACAATGGCAGATTACCAAGATCATTTTGAAAAAACTTTTAATAACAAAATATCAAGATTGCAATAGACACATTACTAGATATCATAAAAAAAATCAGTACGAAACTGATTAGAGAGAGACGCATTATGACAAGAATGCAAGTTGTAAATGTAGGTTTCATTTACATAAATATAAATCCATGTGACACAAATGTACATTTGTCTACTGCACACTTGTATAGCTTCTCAACATGATAATAATTTTATTCTAAAAAAAAAAAAAATATTTTTGTATTAAACTATTATTGATTTTCTACTAATCACTGTGAATTTCTAATACACACTTATTAACTGTTTTAATCTGTAGGTTACAATATGGAAAACAATTTCTAGATATATTAAAAGATAAGAAATAATTTTTGATTTAAAAAAGGATAAGAAATATATGTTGATTTGGAACTTGCGTGCTTCCTGTGATGAAAACGTGTTTTGGCCAAGGAGGACATTTCCTGCTTACCTGGTGAAAGCATCAAAGAACCAAGTTCTTTTGGTTTTCGGGAAAGCAACCCGCATCCCGGACATGAGCGGTGAGTGCAGCACTACCGCGCCGACCTCGTATCTCGCAGCAAGATCGACTGTGGGAACAGTGCCGATACTTTGTCCGTAGAGTATTATGTTCTCCGGACTGATGCCGTAACGTGTACGTAGGGCATGCCACGCGGCGTCGATATCCGCGTAGAGGTTTTTCTCGGACGGCTTGCCACCCGATACCCCGTAGCCCGAGTAATCGTAGCTGAATATATTGCAGTTTATGCGCGAGCCGAGCCCAAGGTAGAAACTCGACATCTGGCCGAGATCGACAGCATTCCCGTGCGAAAAGAGAATGGTGAAACGCGCGGTCGCCGAGCAACGTACGAATAGGCATGCTATGCGGTTGCCGCGCGACGTCCTCGCATAGAAACCTTCCACCGACTCCTTCTCGCGTTCGGTATACTGCCACTCTGCGCGTTCCGACAGAGAAATGGAGAACTTGGAGCCCTCGTCCTCGACAAACGTGTACGTGGGCTCGGGCGGCAGGAAGGCTAATTTGTCTGCGATTCTGGACGGGCAGGGCGGACAACAGAACAGGCAACACAGTTCACTCAGACTTAACCCGTTCATCGTGTAGTGCAAAGCGCACCGGATGAACCACACACTAAACGCGGCGGCCGCGCCGTCTCTCTTCTCTTTTGTCACCCCCTGTTATCTCCCTCTGGCGAAGCTTCGGCATGGAGCTCCCCAGCGATCCGCTCTCCAGCGTCCTGGACTCAATCAAATTGAATCAAATCGGAATCGCTAGATCCGGCGGAGAGGCACGTCGTCGTCGAAGCGCGAGATCGAAACGGAAATCTCGATTTCTCATCACCCTAATGAATCACTCGCGGCGTCATTTGTTATCGGTAACGTAACGAGAATCGCTCATGAATGCTCACAATGATTCAGCCATGACGGCTCGTGGCGAAACAGACGGACCATTTTTCTCCCACCTCCTTGCCTCGTTCTTTCTTTCGCCTCTTCTTTTTTTGCCAACACCGTGTCCCCACTCACTTCACGTTGCGTACTTTCATTGTGCAAGGTGAGACAAAGCGCGAGACAGAGACGAGGGCCGCAATCCACTTTGCTCGCGTCACATTCCTATTCGACAACTCGAACTGCTCGGACTGCCCCGACTACTCGAAGTGGCTCGGCTCGGAGTTCGGACTTTCGGAGTCGGAGTCGGAGCAGCTCGGTACTCGGTACCACCGAAACCGAAGCTTCACCGATCACCGATACTTCTCTTCTCTTGGCGCTTGTCGCCGTTGTCGTTGTCGTTGTCGTTGTCGTTGACGTAGTCGGGTGTCAGACGATGACAGTCGATCAACTCCGATCAACTCCGACCAGCCCCGACGTGCCCTTTCTTTTTTAATCGCGTTTACATTCAACTACACTCGTCAACTCGCTCATGTTGTATCGAGATTCATCTGGGATTATATTCTCGAAAAATATATCGCTATATTCACGAAAATATACGAAAATATTACATAATATACGTCACATATACTATATTATAGCAAAGAGAAAGGGTGCTTTCCAAATGACACAGCATATCATTCTATCTTCTTTCTTATCATTCAGAGAACAAAGATAGAATGATATATATGTTACCTGGTATCACCAAATGGAAAGCGCCCGATATTTTTCAAGAATAAGGCATTTGTGTGCATCAAACTTTTTTCTTTTTTATATAGCCATCGATTAACCGACCAATCACGGGACGAGACACAGCAACGTGTCCATGATGTTAGAAATCAGCCCTCGAAAATCTCGAATGAAGAAAGAATTGACCAATCGCGGTTTATTTATGTTTCCGAATTATTCAAATTTCATTTGTTAATTCTTTCTCTGGCCAAAATTTTGAACTCTAACATCGTGGAATACAGTCTTAAGACGCCATAAAACTAGAGAACTATATTAGCATTTTAAAATATTATATAAACGAAATAAGAATAAACTGTACGGCTTTTTCCAAAGCTGTGTTCTCACGAGTAACGTTAACTTTTTATTGTTTGCTATTGCTAAATATTTTAGAATTATAAAACACATGTCAATTAAAAGTTAATCTACAATGCGCTCTTTACTTTTTATTTCTTAATTTTTAATATTTTTTACCATTTGTTTTTTTGCCTCTTATTCTTTTTCTGTTTCCGTTTTCTCTATCATTCAAGATAAAAGTTGACAAACTTTCGAAAGACACAAGAAACATTTATGATAAGATAACCTGTACAGCACAGATCATTTCAGCAATATTGATACAATACATTTGCAAATATTGCAGCAATGTTGTGATTCATTATGCATTGTAGCAGAAAGAAACCTGAGAGAGATCGTACCGGCCTTTTTTCTGTTACTGAAATCACACGTACACTACATCCATTTTCAGTTCGGGAATTACGTGACTACATACATTTTCTGACACCATATCGATAAAATCATATCGTCGAAAGTAGACGTGGTTCGTTTCTGTACTAAATTCTCAGGATATAAGCCGTGCCGATTATCCATAGGAAGGATAGTTTAATGGGTTCTTGAACGAAAAAATTTTAATTTTTGTTGAATTTTAACAAACGGAATTGAAAATTCAAACAAGTTAATTTAGTGAATTTTGTCTTATATAATATAATATTGGATCATCTAAAAAGTATCCGCGGTACTTTGTCACTAGATATATAACCATCAACACACATCTTAGACCCAATATTTATTTTATAATATCTTATAAAATTACGAAGTTTTGTTTCTTTATGCAAATTTTTATTCATAAAATATAATGTTTCGTATTATATTTGGCATTCTTCGCGATAAGATTTCAAAAAGTAATGCAAAGAAGAGTGGCACGCAATACGGCTACCTGCCTATACGAGCCTCGATAAGGGAATGACTGCGCAGTAACTACGTGTAAACGTGACGCGTCGCCTCGTGCCATCTTGTACCATTCTTCCCCTCTCCCCAAGGTCGCGCGCCAACCTTCTATTGAAATATTAACGCATATTACGAAGTAAGTAAAATAATATATTCTTAAATTCTTTACATTTTTAATGCTTTCGGATTATATTAATAGGCTTTGTTGCACATGGTTTTTGCTTTACTTCTTAGATTCATTACGCACATTCACAGCTCATGAATATCTCAGTTTGTGTTACAACAAGTGATTATTAGTTTGTAATAACTCAGAAAAAAATATATATATATTATCAGGTCATTTAAAAAGTATTCGCGGTTTTTTGTTCAATTTTTGAATGAAAAAAACCACGGATACTTTTTAAATGACCCAATATACATATACATGTATACATGGACATATTTTGTATATATATATATATATATAATTTTATAATATAATTATATAATATTTTTCCTGGGAACTTTATGTTATACAAAATCCGCGCAGTGTACGCAGTATTATTAATAAAAGATTGACGCCTTGCTGTCTTTGTTTTTTTTTTTAATTATTGAATTCATTCACATCTTATTCTAAAAATAAAAGAGTTATTTAGTATTCATTATTTTAAATAATTACACTTCTGATTTATTTCTTTTAATATTTTAAATCAGTTTCCGGAAACTGATATTTTATATTTTTTATTTTAAACAAGATGTATCATTTTTTTTTATCGATTCCAGCGATTTTATATTTTAAATAAGTTTCTGGAACTTATTTTATACTTTTTATTTTAACTAATTCGTAACAGTTATTTTACGGAGCCATTATGAACATTATACGTAAGTTTAAAGAATTTCTGAAACACAGAATAATTTGCAGTAATAATAGTGTTTTAATTAATTTATTAACTAAAAAATTAAGTAATCATTAACAGATGTTTAGTACTTTTAGTCAAAGCTGAAATTGTTTTACAAATTTGGATATATCTTTATATAAAGAAATACATAGAATATTTGATCAACTTTTATTTAAGTGTAAATCATTAAAAAGAATAATAAATATTGAGACATGTTGAAATATCAAAAACCCCCACACGAATAATTATTAATTACGTTTAAAAGAACCACGCAAATAATATAAGATTGAACAAGTGCCAGAGATGGCACAAAGCAAAGTACGAAATGTACGACGGTATCCGTTTGTCAAAATCATGTAAAATACGAATAATTGAATAAACCATGAATATTTTTTTCATACGTGACAGTTGGATATCCGAATGGCAAACAGCGGAAGGGGAAGGGGAGCGTCAAACGTGCCGCGCGGCAAGGTGGTTGACCACGTCATCACTTCGGCATTCGCTTGGCGACATTGGAGGGAGACGACAATGATATGAGTCGCTCCGAAAATTAAAGTCACGAAAATTAAAAGATATCAATAAACGCGAATTGATCAATATTCATAATTTGCAACTGGTACTTGTCCTCTTTAATGGTTATGAATAATAGCACGTTGAAGGCTTTGTATAACTCTCAATTTTCGGATCGAAAGCGTACAATGCATGAATTTAAATTTATTGAATTATCGAATGGTACAATTAAAATAATAAATATTTTATTCTTTTAAAATACATATTTTAAATAAAATTGTTTTAAATATGACCAACCTGACTAAAAAGACTTATTTAAAATAAAAGATATAAAATAAGACTTTATATTACATGAAATAAAATAAAATCCAATTAATATTTCATCACTATTTCATCACGAATTAATGAAATAATTTCTCAATAATTTATCAATTTTTCTCAAAACTTAGCTGCAGTTTAGATTTGGTCGGTGGCGGGTGTCATTTAATTATATCGTAATATATATACATTGAAAAACATATATTTGACATTTATTTTATAATTTAAAATATTTCGTATCAACTAATACGCTGATAAAAGGCAAAAGGTAAAAAGTGCTTTTTAACTTATAATGTCCTTTTTTTGACAAAATTGCTCACATGAAGTGTTTCTGACATTCCATTATATCTCAATTTTTATTATATCTCACTCTCTGATAATTTACAATTAAATAAAGATTAATTAAATAAAGATTCAAAAGTAACAAGAAGCCATAAGGCATTAATCTTTCTTTTATTAAAAATGTATGTACACTGCACGGATTTTATGTAATATAAAGTTATTACAAACTAACAATTACTAATTGTAACACAATTGAAACGTAAGATATTCATGTGTTGTGTATGTGCGTAATGAATCTAAGAAACAGAGCAAAAATCGTGTGCAACAAAACCTATTAATTGGAGAATATTAAAAATCTAAAGCATTTAAGAATATATTATTTTACTTACTTCGTATATGCGTTAATATTTTGATAGAAGATTGGCGCGCGACCTTGGGGAGGGGAGGAGAATGGCACGGGATGGCACGGGGTGGCACGGGGTGGCACGGGGTGGCACGGGGTGACGCGTCATGTTTACGCGTAGTTACCGCGCAGTCATTCCCTTACCGAAGCCCGTACAGACTAACCGCGTGTCGCGTGCCGCTCTTCTTCACGTTTCTTTTTGAAATGTAATCGCGATAAATCGTGCTAAATAATATGAAATATTGTATTTTACTGAACATTAAAAGCATACAATTATATTACTAGCTCGCACGACTAATTAATCATAAAAGAATTGAGACGACAATCATATATCACGTAACAAATATTGGGTTGGCAAGGAAGTAATTGCGTGTTTTTTAGCTCAAAATTGTATACAATATCTTCGTCAATAATGAATAAAATTTAAATTTAAAAAAAGAGTTTTAAAACTTGAAATCTCTACTTTTAAAAGCTACTACATTTTTTAAATTTATATGAGTTTGGTAATTTTTACATACCAAAAACTACGAACTGAAAAAGACGGATAATTTTCTTCTCACTTTGTGGGTTTGTAACCCTTTTCACTTTGTGCCCAAAACAAATTTGAGAAAATTTTCGACTACCTATCGTGAAAGCTTGATACTTTCCCTATTTTTTCTACAAAATCATTTTTTTGAAATATTCCTACAATTTTTGATTACTGAGTTATCGCGGATTAAATAAAAGAATCATTTTGACTTTAATTACTCATAAATCCGTTAAAAATTGTTGTATCGCAATTTAAAAAAGAGATTCTTAAAGCTGAAACGTTACTCTACTTTACTCTTACTCTCAAAATATATTTATATTGGTTGGTAAGAAAGTAATTGCGGTTTTTACTGATAGATGTCTTTTAAAAAAACACAATTACTTTTGCAATCCTATATTTCATTTATTTAGAATCAAAACGCGATAGAAAAATATAATTTATTACTATTTCGCGATAATTACGGACGACAATTTTTGTTTAATGTAACATTTTTGTTTCGCTTGAGTATAACTCGATTATTCTTCGAACAGTATCACGCGAGTCAAAAAAAGCTACGTTAATATAAATACTCTCATGCAAATAATGTTGATCGAAATAGCAACCTATCATGGGTATTGTAAACGTGGAGTGCCGCAGTGTCGCGCGAAAGATTTTTATAAATGAATAGTCCGCGCGCGTTTATAGTGTATTACACGAGTGTTTTACGAGGGTGTCCTGTGCGAGAGGATGTCAACCCGATTCTGAGAGGAGGAGGAGGTCTGGAAGAGACATCGGGCACCGGCGGAGCAACCTTGCGGTAAATATTTTTTGCTCTTGTAAAATCAATATCTTTCTTCTATTTATTCTTGAGTCGTTTTACAATGATTTAAAAATCATAATTAGAAAAAGGATTATTTTAAAATTATTTTGAAATTTCATATACGAATTATTAAGATCTGTTTTCAAAAATGTATAATTATTTTATAAATGTCTAACTCAATGATAAATTAAAAAATTCGATGCTTATAAAAATTATATATTTTGAAAATTATATGATTATTTTAAGAGAACTTTGCGTTTTTTAAAAATATTGTTTGTATTCTTTCTGGTTTGTTATAATTTGAATTTTATATTTTTTTGTTACAGAATCATCGTAGCGACGTTGCAGATGTAACTCCGCTGTTGGGCGTCGGGTTGGTGAGTGACGAATTAATGTTTTTATTGAGGTAACGGATGTGTGGTAATTTTATTAATATATTATATATCTATAAATGCATATGTGCATTAATTTAATAAAAATATACGTAAATATATGTAAAGCATTCCATACATTCGTTGTCTTAAAATGGATAAGTTAGAACAGATTAGGATAAACTTAATCCTAGATGCCTTCTTATTATTGAATATATTGTGCATGTACTGTTAAATTTATAGTCACGTTACACCCAGTTTGAATTATTTCTATATGTCGCCATTGTTTTTACATAATATCTCGTTAATTTAACTACAATAGAGTAAAACTATTTAACTTAGGAAGATTATTTAATTTAGCTCAAATTTTGTTTACTAGTTGCAAATTTATACGTTAATGTGAACGCTTTGATACGAAATAACTTAAGCTCGGTATGATAATTCAAATTTAGAAATATAATAAAAAATAGGTTGTTTCGATGGTCGTGTTTTATACAATATTAAAGTAATTCGGAAAAAACTATTTTACATATAATTATATAAAATTATATACAATTTTATAAATTACAAAAATACAATTATATAAAATTATGTATAATTTTATATAATTATATATAAAATATTTTTTCTCGGGAATATATGCATCTTGAGCCATTTAGAAATAAAAATAAAAAAGAATAAAATATTCGTTTTTAAATATATGAAATACATAAAATTAAAAAATATAAAGTTTATATAAAATAATAATTAGAATTAATGAAATCATCTATATGAATATCATAATGAAAAAGCGTTTGTTACAGTGTAACAAACAAATATTGTTTTATTAATTTTCTTATCTTTCCTATTCCCAAATATTTATTCAGGATTAAGTTTTATATAAGTTGGTGCAGAAAAGCAATATCTACATATACATCCTATATATATAATGTGTACTTCAAAATGTGTTTTTTAAAAAATTTCTTCTATTGTTTTACAACTTATTTGTTATTGTATATATGTTATTGATGAAATAACAACGAAAATTTTTATGTAACGCATATAATTTATTGACTCGCTTTTTTTTAAAAAACATTTTATGGTTACTAATTATTATTGTTTATCTCAGTGCACTAACTTTAGCCTGATCTTTTATGATTTACCCATATGTAGTAACTGGACTTTATACCAGTTAAAGTAGTAACATGATGTAAGATCCATAATATACATTTTACCAAGAAATAGAAGAATTTTATCTCATAATTATTTTAAAATCGCCTTCAGAATTTTGTATAACTTAAAATACTTAATATTAAAATAATAAATTGTACAAAAATGATTCTGATAATTTACAAAATATAAAGAGATATATTTTTGATGCAAGGAAAAATTATTCCTTTTGGAGCTTACATCATTCATCTGAATTTCTCATCTTCGCATGCAATGAGATGAGATTTAACAACGAATTGTCCGAATCGTTAAAAATACGTGGGCCTTGAATTTTATCGGATATGATAATCGATTTAGTCATTTTCAGTTCATTTTTAAATTAAAGTTTTGTTCTTCATATTGTAATATTTATATTAAGAAATTTAATCTATAAGTTTTATAATATTCGAAACCAATATTTGAAATCAAAACATTGATGACTTAAAACTTTTTTTTATTTAGATTTATTTTTAGTCCTAATATTTATATTTTTTATATAAACGCGAATAAAAAATAAACGCGACATTTATTTGTAATATTAATAGAATTATTATTATTATTATTGATAATTATTCATATTAATACCTATAAGTCAATTTTATTAATATTATGGCCTCTTCGCGACGCGTTCGTGTTTCGCGCATCGTACAAAAACGTAAAATCTATTATTGCCAATGATGTTAATCGGCAGTAAAAAGGAGTATTTCTTTTTATTGATTTCTGGCAAATGAAGCCAGAATGTTGGCCAGGAGCAACGAAAGGTGAGTTCAATCTGGCCAGAAGAAAGAAGAGTATCTAAGAGTATACGAAGTAGGTTGATGTGTATCAATTTAAGTTTTTAAAAGGAACACACTAAGAAAAAAAATTTATTTAACGAACTAAACACATTTAGTTGTTTGCAGATTTGATTATTTTATTAAATTTTATTTAATCGAATTTAAACATAGTCTACTTAATGAACTGTTCAATATTAAGCAGACTATATGGTATATGGTTAAATTCAATTAAATAAAATTTGTTAAATTAATCAAATTTGCAAACAACTACAAGTGTGTTAGTTAATTGAACAAATTTTTTTTTCAGTGTAAAAAGATAAACTTAATATTCGGGAGGGTAACTTGCTCGCAAATTGCGATTTTATATTTTTTTGAAATGTGCTTATATATTTAAAATACAAAAATAATCAATAAACAACAGAGCTAATGAGAGTCAGTGCGGATAATCAAGCGCAAGTTTTGTTGATTTTTTTAATCTGCAAAACTTGCGTTTGATTATGCGTGTTGTTAAATGTATTAATGACTTTTCATCGCGATATTGTTAAATTTTATGCCAATAAAACTGCCAATAAAACAGTCACAAAGAGAGAAAGCTGCAATAATAAGCAAAAAATAAAAACACAGGAAACAAAAAGTATTCATTGTAGACAAGTTATAGTTTATATTCTAAAAATATAGGTGTTTAAATGGAGTAATTATTCTGCAAGAGAACAACATTATATTATAGAAATTTTAATAATTAGAAAAACTGGTAGATCACTAATTAGCCTAAAGAGTGGGCTTTGAAATAAATTTGTACAATTTATTGTTCAGTACAATAATATAAGCCAAAAATTTATTTTAATTAGTACGCAATACAGAGAGCATAATTAATAACTTAGCATTATTTCATTTTACTTCTCTTACGGCATACATATTGTATATGTATTACGTTATACATATACATATGTTACATATTTATCATCTCAGAAGATAACAGACAGTACAATTAGTTTATTGACACTAATCAAAAATTTATAAATATAATTAGACTTTAGATTTGTATTTATCTATGAACAAATATTTACACAAACAAAATTTACATACAGTTTCTTCATTCACATTTAAATATTAATATCAAAAGTAAAAAATAACGTTACATACATCCAAATGTTTGTTGATAAAACGCAAAAAATGAAGATTAATACAAAAATTATATTATTATAATTGCAACTAAATCCTAGCTTTATTCCAAATCAATAATAGCTACACAATATGCATTGACATTTCCTACTGATCATTTATCGATGATAAATATAAGATTTACATAATATGCTATGTAGTTATTATAAATAAGATTTTATTATATAAAATAAAAATATTTTCTCTTCATTCTGACATACATAGGCTGCGTTCAATAAAAAAAACAGCTTTGCAACTGTTGTAAAATTCTTGAATATGATTGATTTATACATTTAAATCCAATGAGGAAACTAAGGGCAAAACTAATCATATTAAAGAATTTTATAACAGTTGAAAAACTGCTTTTTTTCCTGAACGCAACCTTTATCTTATAAAAAAAAAGCATTATAAAAAAAACGCACCTTATATTCATTATTTCAACCTTGTAAATCACTCATAATATCAAGATTTATATATACCTAATAATACACCATTAGTTACAACATCTGAAAGACTGCTAGTTGAATCAGCTGGGATATATGGATCACAATGAAAAGTCAAGACTGGATGATGTCCCAAAGTATTTGGATGATTATGCACTGAATTGTCTGCAGCTTTATGTATTCTTGAAAAGTTAAAAAATGACAAAATTAATTGCTATTAAACTTTACTATATTACAATATTTATAAAAATTTCAATAAAATATTTTCAAACATTAAATTTTTTTTTGTTAATATATATTTAATAATATTAATATATATTTAATGTATATTTAATAACTATTATTCTGATAAATATAAAATAACTTAAATAAAATTAAATTATTTTGTTATAAACTCTCTATAAATAAAAAACATAATATATTCATTTTTCTTCTCTATAAATTTAATCCACTTGAATAAATACCTATGATGGAACGTAGCTTCTTGGCTTTCTATACCCAGAAAATTGAGAACTTGTTGTTTTGTTGCTAATAGACTTAGCATTTTTTGTATATATAATTCCAAAGCAGCTCGTCGTTGTTCCAATATTTTCGGTTGCGAGTTTCTTACTCTCTTTGGTGGAAATGGTGCAATATCTGAATTATCCTTCTTCAACTGAGAAAGAATTTTAAAAAGGCTTAAATTCTCTTATACAATACATTGTTATTCAATAAACACAAGATGTATTAAAAACATATTTTATAAAAATATTGTAATAAAAGAAATATTAATACAGGAAAAAAGGAAAAAAAGGATAATTATAAAATTTATTGTTTAGCTACAACACTTATAAAATCAATAAAATTAGGAATAATTACTCAGTAAATCCCCTCCCCTTCCCCCCTACACTACAAATTAATATGGAATTAGGTTTATTCAACACGTTTTTGCACAAAATGAATCTGGCAAAAAAATGTCGCTCTCCTTCGCAAATCAAGATATTGATTATTAAAGTCGACAGATATTCAGGTTAGGAAATTTGTCATATCGATGACATAAATTTTATAAACATAAATTCGCTTTAAAAAAAAAACAAATTTTCTGCCTCAAAAACAAATTCGTTTCTAAATAATTGTTTTTACAGTAGAAAATTTGTTTTTAAAGTAAAGAATTGGTTTTTAAAACAGAGAATTTGTGTAATTAAAGCAGAAAAATTATTTTCAGTCTCATTTACATGTTTTTATGCCTCGAACAGATTTCCTAACCTGAATAGTCGTCAACTTTAACAATTAATATCTTGATTTGCAGGACAGAGCGACACTTATTTTTTGCTAAATTCATTCATTTTGTGCACAAATTTTGTCCAATATATCTAACTTTATTGATTTTTGAGATGTTACAGCTAAATTGTAATTACTAAAAAAGTAGATCATGAATTTTTTTACATCAATTATTAATAATTAACATCTCTGCAATGTACCTTGCGATGTAACGCACTAAATTCGCTGTATCTTCTCTCGATGAAATGTCGAGTGCCAGTCTTTGACTCCAAAACTTCGATACAGTAAACATAATAAGATTTGCCATGTGACACGTCAGCTAAACGGTAACCGTTAATAAAAGCTTCGTACATTGCATCGCTAATAATTTCCGGAAATAATAATATTTTATATAAAATGTTTGTATGTACAACCAGAGAGATCTCTGGTACAACAAATTTACATAAGGTTAGAAATTGAATCTAGTGATCTCTAGTTTGAGAGAAACCTGAGATGATACTATGATAGAGACCATGCCGGCCTTTTTCTTGTTACCATCGAAATTGCCCATACACTATCGCCAGTATATCCATTTTCGATTTGGGAACTACGTACTACATCCATTTTTGATTCTGTTGATAATACAGAGAATTTAGTAACAGCTAAAAAGCCGGCAGCAGGTACCACTTATCTTTCGTTTCTCTCGAAGGAATCAAAACGAATCAAAGGATCAAAACGATGATTGAAACGTATATTATTCAAGTTATTAAACTTGAATAAATTTATATTCACCCATACACAAATTTACCCAGTGTCAGCTCTTATAGGCATTTCTTAAATTTGATACAAAAGAATTAAATTACAAAATATTTTTATATTAAATAATAATAATTTAACAAATAAAATACTTGACATGTTATATCATAACAGTTCCTCAAATTTGTGGATATTTTTTTGCCACAGATCTCTTTTTTTACTAACATTTTAAAAATCCATATCGTTTATCAAGCAATGATTTTTGCGAACAAAATCAATAATTATTTCATCAATCACATTCAGTGATTCCATAATATATTGGGTCATCTAAGAAGTATCCGCGGTTTTTTGTCACTAGATGTGTGTTGATGGTCATATATCTAGTGACAAAGTACCGCAGATACTTTTTAGATGACCCAATATATTCATATATCCATACACAAATGTGTTCGAAGGTTATGTTTCATCTAATCGTAATCGGAAAAGATGGGAAAAGATTGACCATCTTCTATTCCGACTATCTTCGATAGCCGACTTGCGATAATTTTATTCGACAACCGCCAATCCAATGCGCATGTGTACGACACCCAACTCCGATATACGACTGATTGTAGACCAAGCTTTACGCGTGAAGTTGGCTATTTGACAAAAGCCGATCGCGCGGGAAACAACGCCGCTTGCCTATTTCGAATGCGTTTACATCTCATTTGCGAAATATGGTGGATAGGAGATGAGACAGCGGAACGGATCGGCTCTCAAACGAGTGGCATTGCGATAAATATGGTAATTAAAACCTATGTAAAACTTATATCTAATCATTTTTCGATATTTATACTAATGCGTAACTATTGAGTATTTTCCATTTGACAACGCAAGTCGACACAGTCGTTCTATCCTTCTTGAGGTTCAGAGAGTGACAAAGATAGAACGACACTCATGTCGACTTGTGTCATCAAATGGAAAGCATCCAGATTTCGGTATTCATCGCCGTGAATAATTAACAATAAGATTTTCCTATCAATGTACAGTATAAAAATAATGATCATCATAAAAGACGAACAGACTATGTTGTAATATATGCTCACCTGCTTTCATGATAATTATTATTTCCATATCTCGAGCATCAGATATATCTGATGTTCGAAATATGAAAGATTCATGCGATGCCAAGAATGACAAGCGTAGCAACGTCGCGTCATTCGCGCCGCTCTTGGCTTGACGCATGAAATTAACCACGCAAAAACGAGAATCTTTTGCCACCTTAATTACACTTCCTTTATAGATTGTGATAGACATGAGATGGACATAAGACGGACCGATCCTGAGACGAGTGACATCGTGATCAAATGGTAATTGGAACTTATATTGTACCTGTATCTACCCTGATAAAAATAAAAATCAAAACGTAAGTTGAATGTAATGAGAGAGTAACAAAAGCATAAACGAAACTTTTAGGAAGCGAAAATTGAAACATCAAAATGTAAAAGAATGCTTCTTTTATATTTTATTGTTCCAATTTTCGTTTTCTAGAATTTTCGTTTACGCTTCTGTTACTCTTCCATTACATCCGATTTACGCTCCGATTTTTATTTTCAGGGCGTCGTTTATTATGCACTTATGTCCATTTTCACCAATGTAGATTAACTTTAATCTCGGTTCAACTTGCTCTTCGTCTTTTTCTAGTTCTAAAGATTAGAAAAAGACGAAGAATAAGTTGAACAGAGATTAAAGTTAATCTATTTTGATGGAAATAGGTATTAATTCGTGCAATTATAGATTCAATATTTACTAAATATTGAATCGGAGAGAGAGATCACGCGAGAGATGAAATCACTTTGACACATTAATTGCATTTATATTTATTTGCAGAATGCGACAAATACACGATCGGTTTCGAATGAAAAGTGTCGATGACTTATTGAATTAGTAAGCAAAATTTATATTAATTTTATATCTAATTCTTAATATTTAACAATCGTGTAATCTAGATTCGGCATTAATAATTCAGCGAATAATTTGAACATGTATTGTACAGCTGAAGCGCTATCATGTCGCTTTTGACACGTAAAGTTGAACACCTAAAAACTTTCGCTATCTAAGTTAGGTGCATTCAAATGTTCAAATTTCATTTGTAAAATATCGCGAGTATCGACAAATTTCCTCCATTCTTATTTTTCTGTTGTCGCAATACAAACGATGTATCACATGTAATTAATATCGAGATTACACAAAGTACGATATGGTCACATAATATTCAGTAATTATTTGCGACTATACTTAATTTTAACAAATGATTTCTTTCAATTTAATAGATGTTGTCTACACATTGCAAGGCAAACAAAGAAAAGAGAAGAAAAGTAGAGAAGCAGGCTTGACAACTCTGTGCAGGAAGAGGAGAAGGTTTAGGAAAATTATTATCGGACGTTGATGGAGCAACTTTACGGTGAGCAAGTTTACTTTTGCAATAAAAATTAGTCCTATCTTATCAGGTTGTTTTATTTCGATGATTAAAAATAATAATTAAAGAAAAAGAATCTAAAATATTATGAAAGTTTATTTTTATGGAGACAATTTTGAAAATATAAATAAAAAATTATTGAAAAATTTAATGTACATGTATAGAAGTTATTTTTTTATTTATTGATTATTTTGAATGCTATTTTAATGGATTTTATGTTTGTATTATATTACAACAGAATCATCGTAACTACGCTAACTACTACGGTAACTACTGATAACTCCACTGCTATGCATCGGTCGGTGAGTGACAAAAACTTTATTAATGAGGTGATGAATCTGTGAAAAATGTAGTAAACAACTATCGTATCGACATTATTATATTAGAAATGAATATAACGTTTCATGGATCCGTTATCTTAAAATGGATGAGCTGCAAAAAATTATACATATTTAATCTTGAATTTTTCTATCGCTATTTGTCAACTTGATGTGTATTGTATTTGAAGTAATGTATTTGTATTCATACAAATATACATATAAAGAAAGAAAACGAAATAGAATTTAATGCTAATTCACTTAGTTAATATTAAATTAAATACAATTAAAAGGAACAAAATAAGAATTTGAATACTTGATATTTTTAATTTTATTGAATTATTAATTGTTTTACATATTCGAAATGATTCAATTTTTTAATTTCAAAGAATATTGAATTAAAGTTTCTTTCTTCACGAACAATACAAATAAGAAAAAATATTTACACTTTGAGTTGAATTTGAACAAAAATAAGTTTCATGAATGTAAGAAAAAATAAATTATTGAAATAATTAGTTTTTAAATTATAATTGATAAAATAAATAATGAAGAAATAAGAAAAAAATAAAGTTTTATATAAAATATTGCGAATTTTAAAAGTTTTCACAGATTTCTTTTAAAAAAAATTAATATAGGATATTGAATATATGTGACATAAAAATAGAGAACTATATTGTGATATATATAGTAAATATTATATAGTAAATCTATATAGCTATATAGCAAAACTTAAATGAGTTAGGCATATATTTTCTTTAATTTCATCCCAAATATTTATCCAAGATTAAATATGCTATAAATTGGTGCAAAAAAATATGTACATTTAAAAATATTTTTTGAATGTGTATAAATAAAAAAATTGTCCTATACAAGAAAAAAAACAATATTGTATAACGATTGATTAAACTTAACTTTTATACATATAATTTATACATATAATGCGATATAACATAACTATAAAATAAATAATTCTTGAACACTTACAGCATCAATTTTAACATAATTTATAGCCTATTCATTTGGCTAATAATTTATAGCTTATTCATTTAATTGACAAAATAAATTTATAACAAATAAAACAAAATAATTGATATAAGATCCTGTAAGTTATTTGTCGCGGAATGTTTTAAATTATATTAACATTTCCATAAAAATTTTTCTATAAAAAACTTAGTTAACTTATATTTAATACATATTACAACTAGATACAATAACGATATAAAAGCAACTAATAAGATAAAGAGATAAGTCACAATGTAGAATTTTTTTACGTCGTTATATTTAATTGAATATACAAGGTGTTTGGAAAATAATGATAAGTCTTTCGCATAGAAGCAGGATGGACTAAACTGAGAAGAAAAGTCTATCTTTTTGCAATTCTCGCAATAATTAATACGATATTAATTGCTAAAAATTGCCGAAAATTGATCTTCGATAATTTTTTACTCAAATACTTCCAACAAAAAAAAAGCTGTAAAGTATAAAAATTGTTTATTTTCTTTTCATACAGCTCTAAGAATTTTTTCAGAATTTTTTAATATTATATTTTCTCATGTTGGTAAAAATAAGAAAATGCAGTACTGAAAAGTTGATAAAAATTCTGAAAAGAATTCTTAAATGATAAATAAATTCTTTATGATAAGAAAATAAACAATTTTTGTCTCTTGCAATTTTTCTGTAAAGTTGATAGTAAAAAATTATAAAATTTGAGTAAAAAATTATTGAAGACTAATTTTCAACAATTTTTAGCAATTAATATTTTATTAACTATCAATAATACTTATTAGCTAAAAATCGTAAAATGGTAGAAGTAGTTTTTTTCTTTAGTCCATTCTGCCTCTATGCGAAAGATTTATTATTACTTTCCAAACCATCCTGTATACAAAGATAATAAGATAAAAACGTTTAGGCCAAAATTGGATCATCTTCATTTATCACAGATGACATAGTGAATTATTCTTATTTGACAATGTTAAACAAGATTCACTGTGTTACACTGTATCATCTGTGTCTCTTATTGGAGACCATTTAAAATAATTGGAATAGTCACGGCACTGCATTAAAACTATTATTGGTTAAATATTGACATGATAAGATAACCATTAATGGCCCAACATTGTTTTTCACGTTTGGCCAGTATAGTTATCTATTATCGGGCTGAAGTTATCATAGTATTTCCATTAGTGAGTCAGTCATGATTACCATTATCGCGCTAATATAAGTCATCTGGTAATCAATCTTGGACCAGTATCGGATCAATAGTAAAATCCTATATGGGAATGTACAAATTTGTTTATTTGCTTAATTTTCTTTATATTTTCCTATATTTTTTCGTATATGTACGAACAGTACAAGATTGAAAAGATTCCATTTAAATGTTAATCGCGTAATTGAATCTCTAATTTTCGAATTTATCGCTCGATTAGATTTGATATCCCACTAAATTAATAAAAAATCAGTTTCTTTAATAAATCGCGTATCGCGTCGCGGATTAAATTAAAGATTTTTTTTTTTAAGTTAGAATATACGAATAGGTAGAAAAATGAATAGGACAAAATATAAACAAGTAAGAATATAGATTGAAATACGGATAGATCGATAGGATTAGGTAAGAATTCAGTCAGGTAGAGACATAATAATTTAGTAAAATTAGAAAGATTGTATTACAGACAAAATAATAAAGTTCACAGGCAAAAAAACAGGCCACTAAATTTTAGCACAAATTTATAATTTTTTCGAATAGTGATAACTCAATGAAAAATCACATCAAGATGAACCAAAGCTCAAATTAAAATTTGAACATTCTTCTTGATAACCATGGGGATCACATTTGATTTACACAAAATATAATACAAAATAATGGCCGTTGAAGGCGAACATTCAAAGAGAGAGGAAATTTTTTTTTTAAATGTTATACGCTTAGGGAAATTGATTGCATGGTACAAAATGAGTCTTTAAGTTCATTCCAAACAAATCCATATTTTGAACATTTTTCTACAATTTTTTTTACTAATTGTAAGTTATATCGTTTTAAAGAAAGTGTTACAAAATAAATAACTTTTTCTCATAAATTCAGTATAACTCAAAAACAAATTATGTAGGAAACTTTATTAGAAAGGAAATTAAATTATGAAATTCTAATTTTAGCTTTTCAATTTCGTGTAAATGCGTGCGTGTATATATGCATGCGTGTGTATATATATATGCATGCGATTGTTGATATTTATCGTACAGACGCGATAACTCTTTCCAGATCTGTGTCGCCGATAATTGGTGCAAATAATTCCTCAGCCAATTCTCGAGAGCAACATCCGGTGAGAATAGGTAGGACAAATAGAATCTTCGCCAGTTTATTCTCTCGATCGTCTTGCTGTTGGAGATGTTGTATTAGAGTTTTCACAGCGTAATTTCTCGCTTGTGACATTATGTGGACACCGTTTGTAGTATTATTGGCGATTTCTGCAATTTAAATCACACTTTCAATGTAATCGCATTTTTATCAGTGAGAAAGCATATTTTATTTGTATACTATCGAAAAGTTATATGACTTTCTTGCATATACATATATAATATATGTACTGTTTAACTTTTATTTACCTGGACGACACAACGCAAACGTGTCTAAAACACACAATTCGACATCGTCAAGTTGTAATTTTTCGATTGCAGCGCGTGTTGCAATTATGCAGGCTAAAACACTATCGTTACTCGTTGCACTTTGTCCTCGTATGTTCATTAAATCAACCGGCCACGTAGCTGCGCGTAAAACAAAAAGAGCAGACCATCCCCGACGAAGAATCTTGTTTTGGTCTTCTACATTCAGTATCGAAAAATCTCGATGACGACGTGCATTCCGAATAGCTGCCAGAAATATTTGCGCGGATATTTCGTACTGTATAGCCGTGCCTGCGTGCAATATAAAATCCAATTAATTTCTCGTAAGAAATATATATCACAACATTATTTGCATTACTCCACAAATCTGAATTTTCTTTGAAACTGTGGAAATGGATTTAAAAAAAAATTAGACTTATATTTTATTAGAAATATAGCACGCGCGCGCACACACATACACACACATACACAGAGGTTAGATACTTGATAAATTCTGTCTAAAGTCGGGTAATTTAAATATTCTATAAGGAAATAAAATTACCGGGTGATATAATCCTCCTCGGCTGTACATAGCGCGTCGTGACAGGAAAGAAAATATTCTCTCTAGTTTCAGATTCGTGTAACGTCTTCATCATTAGAGTATTATTCAGTGTGGGATTCTTGAAAGGCAAATATATCTCGGAATTATTAAAACGTGCACAAAAAGATGTTGAAGGATCAACTCTAGGCTTCCAGGTGCTGTTAGAATTATGTGGATTTGAGAGCGAATTGTTTCGAGCACGTGGCCCTCTTTCTTCCTGCACCGCTGTGAAAATATATGCTTTAAAAATTTAACAGTATCTTATAAAGAAAAGTCAAGAAAGCTTCTACTTCTTATTTATCATTAATTTTTATAATTGGTTTTGAGAAGAATAAAATAATTTTTTCTTGAAGATGACCAATTACTCCAACAATAATTAAATATTTGTTAAATATTCATATATCATAAAATTTAAATAAGCTTTGCTTAAATTAGCTTGTAAATATTGTATCTTTTTTGAAAATTGAAAAATTTTGTGAAGTTTCTATACTTCTTATTGTGTTACATTTTTATTTTACATTTACGTTTTTGTTATAATCAATGTGAAACGATGTGTGGTAATTGAAGAATTCCAGTAGGCTTTGGTTCTTCGATCACAGGATAAGGTTTGTGTATTTAAGAGCTGACGACCGGAGTTGACACTCAATATCATTTCTCGTGACACATTATGGCAATGGCTACTACTAAATTATTTACTGGATTATCCATGAAAGATAGTTATCGCAATTTGTTACATATATCTATCCTTATAACAGATTTAATCTTTCTTAGTTTCTTCTCAAATTTTTAGATCTTTGATTTATTTAACACTATATTTGTCACTATTATTGCATTAAAAAAATATATATATAAGACAAACATCAAATTAACATAAATTGTCCACATTACGGTTCTGCTGTCAATTAACTTTTCTGAATATCG